ATACATACATACATACATACATACATACATACATACATACATACATACATACATACATACATACATACATACATACATACATACATACATACATACATACATACATACATACATACATACATACATACATACATACATACATACATGCATACATGCATACGTACATACATACATACATACATACATACATACATACAAAGTGTGAATACATAGGAAATCTTTTCACAGAAACAACGCACACATACCTCTATAAACTCTCTAAACCCTCAAAATCAAAAACCCTAAAAAACCAAAACTTTAAGCCCACATACACAGGACACACGTACCTCTATGAAGTCAAACGCCTCCGACAGACCAAAGTCCGAGTTCCCACCCGCCAGTGGTGAAGCCGAGCCCACCCGCTCCAGCCGTTGCATGTCACTCTCCCACTCGGCTGACTCATCGCCCCAGTGCGTCGGGCTGTTCGCTCGCGATAGCACGGGCGACGGGAAATCAGCTACCGCCTCGGTGGTCTCCTGCGTACGTATACAACAAGGAAGGAACGTTTGTACGGTAATAAGGATATATACGTCACTAAGGATATATACGATACTAAGGATTTATACGTTACTAAGGATTCATACGTTACTAAGGATATATACGTTACTAAAGATTTATACGTTACTAAGGATTTATACGTTACTAAAATTTATACGTTACTAAGGATTTATACGTTAATAAGGATATATACGTTACTAAAGATTTATACGTTACTAAGGATTTATACGTTACTAAAGATTTGTATGTTACTAAGGATTTATACGTTACTAAGGATTTATACGTTACTAAAGATTTATACGTTACTAAGGATATATACGTTACTAATGATATATACGTTACTAAGGATTTATACTATACTAAGGATATATACTAAGGATTTATACGTTACTAAGGATTTATACGTTACTAAGGATATATATGTTACTAAGGATATATACGTCACTAGGGATATATACGTTACTAAGGATATATACGTTACTAGGGATATATACGTTACTAAGGACTTATACGTTACTAAGGATTTATACGTTACTAAGGATATATATGTTACTAAGGATATATACGTCACCAGGAATATATACGTTACTAAGGATATATACGTTACTAGCGATATATACGTTACTAAGGATATATACGTTACTAAGGATATATACGTTACTAAGGATTAATACGTTACTAAGGATTTATACGTTACTAATGATTTATACGTTATTAAGGATTTATACGTTACTAAGGATTTATACGTTACAAAGGATGTGTGTAAAGCTTATACGGTACTAAGGTTGTGTATAAAGTTTATACGTTACTAAGGAATTATACGTCACTGAGAATGTGTGTAAAGCCTATACGTTACCAAGGGTGTGTATAAAGTTTATACGTTGCTAAGGATTTATACGTTACTAAGGATGTGTGTAAAGCTTATACGTTACCAAGGATTTATACGTTACTGAGGATGTGTGTAAAGCTTATACGTTACTAAGGATGTGTGTAGAGGTGCGAGAGTAAGTACGCAAACACCAAAGCATATACGCTTATTTGATTTAGGAGGAATTACATGTATTTGTACGTGTGTGTAGGGAACTATTTAAAAATAGACTATTGGACAGGGTAAAACCACCGCTACCTCGGTCGCCTTCTGTGTATTGATGATGGCAGGTGTACATACCAAGTACATTATACATATTGCACATTGATTAAATATTTATGAATTAATACATTAATTAACTACAATTTTATTAAATTGTATATTAATTCAATAGAAATTGAAATATACATCAATTAATTATGAATTAATAAAAATATACATTAATTAAACATATATTAATTGTATGACACAATTATATATCAATTAGATTGTCCTTGAGTGGTCATGAACAAATAAACAATAGTGTATTATTTTAACTAGTATAAGTCTAATGAACAATAGTGTATTATTTTAACTAGTATAAGTTTAACGCACGAAGGCATTGAGGGTACAAACAACATACACATCCAATTACAACATAAACAGAGTGGAAAGACAGGAGTATACTAACCTTGTACACAACATACACATCCAATTACAACATAAACAGAGTGGAAAGACAGGAGTATACTAACCTTGTACACAACATACACTCCAATTACAACATAAACAGAGTGGAAAGACAGGAGTATACTAACCTTGTACACAAAATACACATCCAATTACAACAGGAACAGAGTGTAGATATAGGACTCTATTAACCTTGTACACAACTCTATGTGTGCACTCAGCTGTGTGCCTGTATCTGGTACAACCAAATACACAAACGCCTGGCTAGCACTATACCCAGCATCTCAGTAGTTCTGTCGTGAAACATGGATCAGTGCTTATCCTATACCACAAAACGTAATGATATGTGTGTGTATGTATGTAGATGTATGTATTCGCACTAACCACATGTTAATTTGTGCCCTGTATGCGCCAAGCAAACGTATATCTGTATCCTATATAGCCCAAAGGTCATATATCTGTACCATACAAAACTCGGGTAAACATATCTCTGTTCTTCGCTATACCTCCCAAGTAAACGTATACCCTACATGGCCCAAATAAACACAACCCATGCACGTACCTTGTACAACTCAAGTAAACGAATATCCGTACCCTACATAGCCCAAATAAACACAACCCATGCGCTTACCCTGTACAACCCAAGTAAACGTATATCCGTACCGTATATAGCCCAAATAAACACAGCCCATGCACGTACCTTGAACAACTCAAGTAAACGTATATCCGTACCGTATATAGCCCAAATAAACGCAACCCATGCGCGTACCTTGTACAACCCAAGTAAGGACGATATGCGGAAGTCCAAGCGTGTGTCCAGCACAAAGTCCAGGATCTCTATGATCCGCATTTTGCTCGAGATGACCAATTCAGTCATGTCCTCGGTGGGTTGGGTGCGTTCGCCCATGCGTGTGAAGTTGCTCGGCGCTGCTCAGGTAGGTAGGTAAGCAAATATCAAATAGGGTTTAGACTACAGTTCTAAAAATAGATTACTCTTATTGACTACACGTGGTTCTCACATGTCGCGTGAGGACTGAACTGTGCGTTCGCCCATGCGTGTGAAGTTACTTCATGCTACTCACACGTGTGAGCGTTGTGGAATCATTTTAAGCCCACCAAATTGACACCACTGTTCTAATAATAGATTGACTTGATAACACTGTTCTACTAATAGATTGAATTGGCACCGCTGTTCTAATAATAGATTGACTTGATAACACTGTTCTACTAATAGATTAAATTGGCACCGCTGTTCTAATAATAGATTGAATTGACACCACTGTTCTAAAAATAGATTACTCTCCCATATCCCCATTACCGTCGGGAGCAGTCTGTTACCTGCTACCTGCATCGTACGTTCGCATATGCGTGTGTATACATTTGCATATGTGTACATGTAAACATACCCTCAGGCGTACTTTTGCCCAAGAAGTCCTCAGTTTCGGCCGCTCTGAAGTCATCATTGTTGTCGGATAGCGTCCCGTTATTCGTCTCGCTATCTCCCGCAGCCAGTGCCGAGCTCGCTACCGCCGACGTGCGCCGGGCAATGGTCTTGAATAGATTCGCCATACCTTGCTTTATTCTAGAGAAGTCAATATATATATAAAATTAAGAATACGAAATTATATATATATATATGTATATATATATAAATGAATATGAATATAAATATA